AGTAATATCTTACCATAATATAAAAAACATGAACAGAAAATGTAGTAATTTTGACAACACAGAAAACAGTTATAACAACAGATGAGTAAAATATGTAATAAATACTTTTCAAACACTAAAGGGTTCTTTATGACAATAGAACACACCATATGAACAATGTGTGCAACAAATACTTCTTATATATATATATATATATCAAAAAGTTAAAACAATGCTACATCAAATGAACAGTATATGTAAAACTTTCTACACACTAAACAATGTTTATAACAATACTATATCAAATGAACAGTATATGTAAAACTTTCTACACACTAAACAATGTTTATAACAATACTATATCAAATGAACAGTATATGTAATACTTTTTACACACTAAACAATGTTTATAACAATGCTACATCAAATGAACAGTATATGTAAAACTTTCTACACACTAAACAATGTTTATAACAATGCTACATCAAATGAACAGTATACGTAAAACTTTTTACACACTAAACAATGTTTATAACAATACTATATCAAATGAACAGTATATGTAAAACTTTCTACACACTAAACAATGTTTATAACAATGCTACATCCACGAACGTATAATGTCATGTAATATTTCCTTTTCAAATTGTAAACTAAGTTTCCAACAATTCATACCACAACTTGAACAATTCCTTGCAAACCCCAGCTATCGATCCTCCATCTTACTGCTGAGTCCGACTTCAGAATTAAAACTAAATCCTTGATTATGATTGGTTTGCTGGGAGCATTTGTCTCAGGTGCCCCTTGTGGCTGGAGATGAATGACCACTTCGTCAGATTCCCCTGCTGATCTCAATTTCACTATATGGACATCCCTGATAACAGCATAATTAAATCAGGTAATCAGTGAATGCATGCTCCCTAAGGTAACTGTTTCCATGTAATCGATTACATATTGAAAAAGATCTTCATATTTTCTTTACTTAAAAAAAAACTCTTTCAATATGTAATAGAGTTAGTAATGCCTTAGCATAGAAAATCAAAAACACTGGTGTTTAGACTTTGGTATGATTCAAAATGCAATAAAACTTTGTTTTAGAATTGGTCTCAGCAAAATACTTTGTAATTAAGTTATAAGGAAACCAAAGGCGTTTAAATGAACTGCTAAAATAAAAGTTTTTATTATAAAAAGTTGCATTTACCATGGAAGATAAGAAAGCAGAAAACTTTATTTTAAACTAATGATAAAATGATGAAACAAGGCTGTCAAGTCCAAATCATATACCACTGCATTCAACTGTTATGTGACAATCAATGCTATACACATGAGCGTCCAGGTGTGTGTGTGTGTGTGATAAACATAATTCTTTCTTTATTCATTCAACATATGTATATGATTTTTTTTTATTCAATTCACAATTTAACACTACTTTGTCCCCCTCCCCCCCTGAATATTTTTTCTGCGAACGCCCTTGGCTATCTAAAAATTGTTGCAGAATACAAGCCAGCATGCTTCAATTTTTTTAAAACAACTTGGTATGAGGGTTGATTTCATAGTAATAGTAGATACTTTCAATACAATTTTAAAAAATTATTGATATTTTTAAAGAATAACAGATTGTTCACACAATACATTAGTGCTAAAACATCCCACCAGATGGCAAAATGCACAGAACCAGGAAGCAAAACAGCAGAATTAAAATATTGACTAATGCTCACAGCAGATGGCGCTTGGTGGAGGAAGAAGTATTTGGCTCAAAACATGTTTACAGAGAACGTTCACTGAGGCCTCTCGTTGATCCGTTCCTGGAACTGGGCCAACAAGCAGAGGTTGATGTTCTGTTCTGTTTTCTTTTTTACCCTAAAAGACCTTGAAGACCCTACACGCGATCTTACGACACCTATGAACAACTGGATTTGATATATATATATATACACATACACACATATATATATACAGACCAAGTTAAGCAATCACGCTAAGAAAGTCGAACAGGTGTTTCAGTCAAGCCTAAAATTGTATTTGATTACCAGTATGCTGGGTATTTTATATTTGGTTCTTCCATACACGAGTGTTAGTTTACATACATAAACATACACACATAATGCCGATTGTTTTTTGAACAATAAATATCGGTGACACGTGAGAAACAAATAAACATATGTCACTGTTGTAATTCGAATTATCTAGAAAATTGTGCAAGCTATTAATAAAAGGAAAAGGATAATCATGTGCGCACATTTTTTTTACATTTTCTTTAGTGTTAATTACTTATATTAAAGTCAAAAGACTGTAAATTTGATGACGAGGACCCCACTTTTTAGAAAATAAAGGTTTGGAGACGGCATGACTGGGTAACGATATAAATGCACGACGCTTCGTACGCCTCTAAACTTTTAAAATATTGGAACCTCACCATTAAGTAATGTGGGGGGGGGGGCTCCCCGCGAAAACTTCAATACAAGATCAATGCATTAAAGGTTGGTTGGGGCTTTAATCTCATTGAAACAACATAAAAACTATTTGTGGAAACATTTCAGTTCGTTCAAAATCGTAGACCTTGTAACCAGAAATAGTTTAGAAACTCCACCATGCTGTAACCCACTTTAACCTTCTTGGGGTCAATGTAATTCAGTTAGTAAATCACATTATCAAATTATCATTTAACTGTATTTTCGAAATTATTTACAACAAATAACTTCAAACAAGTTTGTTGTCATTGGACACAAAAGTACAGGCATCAAAAATCGACCCCCCCCCTCCATTTTTGCTTATATTCACACAGCTTGAAATAATAATAAGTCGAAATTCCTACTAAAAAAACTACCAGTATTTTATGATCGGGTTGAAAATGAAAGGAAATAGTCAAAGAATAAATTACACGGTCTGACGAATTCAGTGAAGGAACGAGCTAAAGCTATCTGTACAGACCAAATTAACACAAGTCCGATAACGAGTTGAGTCAATACGTAAATTGGTAGTCGAAAACATAATCAGATTAGCGTCACAAGGTTGAAATCCACCACAGCTAGCTGTTCATAGAAGGAAATTAACAAGACGCCGCTGGTGGTCTTTACTACGTCACTTTCAAACTAGTACCATCGTGTTTGCATGTACACTGGGTGAAGTACCATCGTGTTTACATGTAAACTGGGTGAAGTACCATCGTGTTTGCATGTACACTGGGTGAAGTACCATCGTGTTTACATGTAAACTGGGTGAAGTACCATCGTGTTTGCATATAAACTGAGTGAAGTACATCGTGTTTGCATGTAAACTGGGTGAAATACCATCGTGAAATCCACAACACACCGAAGTAAATTTAATTACTAACGAATTCACTCAGTTTACATGTAAACACGATGGTACTTCACCCAGTTTACATGTAAACACGATGGTACTTCACCCAGTTTACATGTAAACACGATGGTACTTCACCCAGTTTACATGTAAACACGATGGTACTTCACCCAGTGTACATGCAAACACGATGGTACTTCACCCAGTTTACATGTAAACACGATGGTACTTCACTCAGTTTACATGCAAACACTATGTACTTCACTCAGTTTACATGCAAACACGATGGAGTTCGCTCCGTTTTTATCACCAACTGACTTAACATAAAGGTTTTCATATTGCAAACACGAACACAGAAAATGCGTTCTCATGTGAGCAGATTCGTAAAACAAAACGTAAACTTTGATGTGCACCAACACGAATCTTAGGACATTAAAAACCCAAATTAAGATGACTGTTTCTCTTTGCTATCATTTATATATATTTCTATGAGTATTATTATTATTGCAACTTTCACACACACACACCCAAATATAACGTTGCAACATGCGCATTACGTGTAATATCACGCGAACTGTAAACCAGTCCGACGCATGACACCATACCTGCTACTAGAAGCGATGTTTTGTAATGCTGTACAACCGGAGGCAGGCTGAGGTTGAATGAAGGACGCTTCTACGTTGTCAACCTTTACCTCGTTAGTGACTTCACACGACTCAGGAGACCTGCCGTCTGAAAGAAGTAAAAATGGTGCTTAGAATACAAGACTCTAATCAAAATCATGATTTTAAATCTTTCTTTTTTTTTTCAAGAACGTTACATAGTTAAAATTATGCGACTCACATCAATGTAGTCCTTTAGAAATGTAATTAACACGAGGCATAACACTATTTGTCATCTGATTAAATGATAAATATCGATAAGCTTTTAACTAAGGGGGGGGGGTATAAGCTTTTGAACAGCATTTTTTGTATACTATTTAATTAAGCACGACTTTCTTGGCTGCACGTTTCCTAATAGTTTACACAACAAGATACAAACAAACAAAAAATATTTAATTAATGCCACTAACTACTAATATAATGTACGTAGAAAATAGTTGATCTTACCAACTGGACCCAACCAGTAAGGAACGGTATAAAACCAAGTCGTTAATTTTAGGGTTAAATAGGAAAGTGGCATTTCTTTCTGTGCATACTGTTTGTAAGTGTTAAGTTACTAAATATAATCCATCATTTCAGTTCAAACTGATCCAAAGTTATTGTGTACTTACCGTAAGGTTGTGGCGAACGGATATTTATCGTTTGTTTGTTTTTAAATTTCGCGCAAAGCTACACGAGGGCTATCTGCGCTAGCCGTCCCTAATTTAG